TTATAACTCCACATTGAATGGCTTATCATATGAAAATGTGGTCAGTATTTCATCTTTCCGCTCGTAAGAGCCGTTCTTCAACTACTCAGTAAAGTTTTAGATCACCGTTTCTTCGTTGCAGTTGCTGCTCCCGGGTGAAGAAAACCCCGAGGAGGCCAACAAATGACGTAGAAACGTAAGGAAACATACGATGCGATTTAAGTAAAATACGTGTCTTCTGCGACCAAATTTCATTTATCTGTATTTCACTGACCGCTGATGTTGAAAGTTATAACCCAACGGAACGTGTCGCTCATTTTGCTCAGAGCGTAGGCAATGTTCCATTTTCTTCCCAAACAATGCTTCCATGGAGTGCGCCAATAGAAGAACTGTCACGACTGTCTTCACGTAGGGAGGGTATTTTCACTGAATTGCGAGATCGAGGACCCGGTGTTTGGAGTTCGAAAAATGTGTCCAATAACCTGGTTCCAATTAATCCAGACAACGATTATCCAGATCCCATTAGACGTATTAGGTACGATGGAAGTGAATACCATGCCCGTTGGTTGTAATCGGACTAATTGAACAGTAACCTCCAATAGACTGGTTTTCAAACCACCCCCTCCCTTGTCGGTCAGGTTTTAGCAAGTCAAAGGCTCCAGTTATGAACCTCAAAAACATTTATCTTCTCTGAGACGGGCTACCTGCATTGGCTCAGACAAGTGTGAAATGACATGTATTCATCCTACGGACACCCGATATTGCAGTTTTCAGTCCATGTTCCCAAATAAGATTGTTTTATTCCTTCGCTTATCTAGTGCTTTTGCCGTTTCTGTAACTCATGCAATCATTCAAAGTGTCAGTTCCGAACAACGTTCGGATTGCATCGAAATGCAATCATTGTTTGACCGCCATTCCAATTTTGGTCACTAGAAGTCTTTCCCATGCATCTTTATCCCTTCCCCCTCCAGAAATACCCCATTACGACCTCAGCACTTTGAACTGGTTGAACCAACCCAATCGATTGCCTGTGAGACGGATTGTGTTTCTGTCAGCGATCGTTCTACTCATGCTGCTGTTCCTGTACGTGATGCATCCATATCCGCACAGTCTTCATTCTTCTGCGACCCGGTTGAGCATGAAGAAATGAAAAGGCGAATAGAACAACTGCAATCAGAAAAAGTAAAATCTGTTTCTCTGCACAACTCATCTCAGTGGGTTGCGGAGCTGCATTACCTATCTACTGTCCTGTTTTATTTGCCTATCACTATTCTATATGAATTCTC